CACCTAGTAGCTTCTAGTTACTAATATTTTCTGGTCCCCCTCCTCAACAAAACCCTCCAGCTCCCGAAACTCCCGCGCCTTGTGTGCTGCCGCTTGCGCCGCCATCGCCCGTGGCTCTAAATCTCCCGGCAGCGACGCGGCAAAGTTGGCGCCCGCGATGGAGGCCCTCAGCGGTGGCAGGATACCCTATACAGGGCAGCAATTATAGCACCTAACACATTTAGTAGCTTCTTGTTCCTAGTAGTAATGGCCTCCAACCCAATAGCGATGGCCTCCAACCTAGTAGCTTCTAGCTACTAGTAGCTTCTTGTTCAGGCTGGGATTGGATAGCTTCAATGACCTTCAATGCAGCAGAAAAAAAGGATGAAACACAGGGTTGTTCTAGCACATGAGCGCACAGTTTTCCGCGCAACTGCTGCAACTGTTGGGTCGAATCAGGAATCTGAATTTGTGGAACTTCTTCCTCCTCAACATGCAGCTATAGATTTCTATCAACCTACTTCGTGGCCTATTGGGTGGGGTGCTCCCCACTTCACCCAAAGACTCAGGCCCCAACTGTCTAGCCTGGCAAGACTGGGCTGACGCGAATTCAAAAAGCTGAGCTCAAGCTCAAGCTGGTGAAAAAACATAAAAACCCACACTTTGAACATGTTCCATCTATTTTTGGGGGTCCCACACCGCCCAGCGTCCATTGGATGATCCCCCATGTCGTCCCAACGCCGTCCGAACCCTGAAACAAACTTCGCGTTTTTTGCCACATGGAGACCTGGTACTGACGCTTTGGACCCACAGTTTGACGGTTTGGATCTTCCTTTTGAAAATCGACCTCCACATCGGGTCGAAGAACGCCTAAGAAGCCTCGACCCGACTAGAACCATGGCGGTTCTGCAGCTGCAAGTCACTGCAGTACACTGGTATAGTTTTGGGAAGGAAGTTCCTATACCAAAAAAGGGGGTGGTGCAATGGGCTCGCAAGTGCGGACCCATAAGGGAAGCATTGATCAACGGACCCTTGCATCATACAGCTCATGATCGTGGTCATTCTCCAAGGTCGCTTGCTTCCTCCGACCCCAGGACTCCCCTCCAGGTCGGCAGCAACCGGGGGCGACCTGGACGTGCCCAGTGCGACCAGGTCGGCGCGCCGCGGTTGCGCCGCGGGTGCCTGTTCGCGCTCATCATAGCCCCTCTCCTTGGAAAGTGTTCGGGCCGCTTGTGCCGCTGCCAGCACTGCATCGTCCAGGCCTTACTTGTGCCGGTTGGAAGAGAAAGTGCCGCCCCTTTGCAAATGAGTGCTGTGAGTGGAGAATGAATATGATATGACATGCATTGATATACCCTGTCACAAGGGGCAATCCAGGTGGATTAAGTGCAGGACGACCCTAATTTAGCGCTGTAGGGGTCTGTTTTTCAATGGTCCAATTCACCCCCAAATCTTCAACATATTTCTCTTCAACGTGCCTCACTTCTTTAACCACTCTTCAATATTCAGAACATCATTCCAGGTTTCTTTCACCACCTCTTCCAACCGAGTCACCACGACCGCACCGAGTCACCGGCGTGAAAGACCACATCGCCGAGTCACCGGAGCCGGACTTTTGTGCCTCTTCGCCGGCCCGCTGGGCCGAGTGCAAGATGTCCTGCATCCCACGGTGCACCCGCACCACCCACGGACCCCCGGCGCACCCTTCCACCGAAGGTTTTGCGCCTCAGAATTTGTGTTGTCCCTGAGACACCCGTTTTCGCTCACATGCAGAATTGAGGAAGCTTCCGGGATGTATTCCACATGTTAATATGCTTTCTTTAACTTTTGGATGGTCCCCCTCACCCTTCCCGTGAGTGACAAACTGGCGAAACATGCCATTCTGTCCCACCAAGTCTGATGCACTGACCCCCCCCGTAAAACGGGACAGCCTCTTCCTTCCTGCCATGTTAGACGGGAAAAAACTGCTCCTTGAAGTCCAGCCGATCAGTCACGGTGTCTTTAGTGAAGCTCTCCTCCCACCATTCCAGGGCCTTGGTCGTTGAATACTGCCGAGATATATAACTCAATGAAAACGTTAAGGTTGGAGCCTCTGCAAATGATCTGAGAAGAACCAAAACATGTCCACACCATTAAACTTGAAATACAACTAAGACTCAAATAATCACTCCATCGCATCGTTCTCTAGTTTGTGTTATTTTCTCTTAACCGCCCTTTGAGCATGAAGCATTGGTGCTCCGAGTGTCAAAGCCCATTTCGATGATCACATCATGCCGTCGATTTGGAAGCATTGGGACACATATGACACGTATGAAGAAAATTGTCGGTGAAACAAACTTCTGGAACTTCAGGTGCGCACCAACACCTGGAACTAGTGCTCTCTAATATGGTCAACAGCAGTTGAAGCAGGCAAATTTCCAGAAAAACTCTCCCCCTACGATTAGTGACCACCAAGTGTTAGTTCAATTTGGCTGAATCTAAAGGATGGTGTGATCATTTTTTTGGGGCGCAAGAACCATGCCAGCCCATCTCCCAAGAGACCATGTCCCATCCCATCCAGTCAAGGCTCCATGTCGCCAGCCCGATCCCCCGTTCGGCCGAGGCCGATCCCCGGAGTCCGATTTCACGCGCCAAGGCGCGGCTGCCTCACCAATCGCAGCCCATTGTTCCTGAGATGCGAGGAAGAAGACTCGGCTGACCTCAAATCACTGGGAAACTTCAAGAAATGGCACAAGTTACCCCAAGTTGGGTGGTTGTATGGTGGTTGTATGGACCCCCATCTAAAGGACATCTTGGGGGTTGTGCCATCTACTCTGAAACCACTGTAACATAGAAGTGGAACAAACCCTCTCATTTAAGGCAATCGCATCTAATTAGCACGGGCCATTCTTGACTTCAATGATGTATTACAACAATGTGTTCGTCAAGTGTGCACTTTACATCACTTTACTAACAGAGCCTAGCAGTGGTGAATAAGACATGGAGTTTGCAACGGATCAGATGTTGGAAACCTGTTCTGGGAAAGAAAGTAAACCCCGCATGACCAAATCAGCAGGTTGACCCTTTTCTTTACTTCTCTCAGCTGTACGGTCTAGCCGGTAGCCAACAGGTTCACCCAAAAGAATCCAAAAGAACATGTTCAATCTCGGTTCGTTCATTTTAATATCATTTAATTAGCCAGCGTCCACGAGAGTAAAATGAAGTGTCCTCTTTGAAGATTCCACTTTGGACGCCGAAGGCGGAACCCTGGCCCATTGGCCCTGCCCACCTGCCTGGGTTGCCAAGTCCTTCTTATAGACTGCGGCCACTTTCCGCAAAGCTGTGTCGACGGCTGTGTACGTCTCCTGACAGGGGCAGAAAAGGAACAAGTTTGGCACAACAGTGCAGCGGGTGACCAGTCCAGGTTTTCACGAGCCAAGTGGCTCGAAATGGACTTCACCGAGCCAAGTTTTTCTAGCAACTCTCGTCGTCATTCTTCGAAGAATAGCCATTCTGGCCATGGGTCGACCTTTCACGTCCTACAAACCACTCCTTCGGCCCCCCAAATGGGGGGCCTTGGTTGATGGACTTTGCTCATGTGATCAGCTCCTACATCAGCATTCACAAATGCCACAAGCACGCAAAAATGACTCATCGACTCACTGGCACCCTGGCACGCCTTTTTGGTGGCCCCAGCGGTTGCAACGACCAAGGCGCCTTCCTGGGCTGCAATGATCAATTGCCTCGGTGGCCGGGAGACACGTCACCGTGAACCTGTGAACCGTGCGGTTTGCTCGTCTTGGAGGTGAATCAAACCGCAAGCATCACATGGCCGGCGTGGCCGGAAATTGAAAAAAAAAACAAACAAGATCAAACAACCGACATCGTCAAGACTCAAGACATCTCAAGATATCATGATATCCAAGACTTTACGCCGTGCACCATTGCTCGGAGGCACAAGATCACACGACGGAAACAAAACGACAAGCAAGGTCATCACAAACATGACCTATAATAGCTAAATAGCGCCCAGTTCTGCTAGGTTATAGAAACCCCAGATTTCATGGCTTCCTTCGCATTCCCTCTCGCCCTTATCCCCACCGACCGGCCCCACCGCGGTGCTTTGGTGGCAGGCTCAGGCACTGCTCTTGACTCAAGCCGTGGCCGTGCACCGTGTCCGCGGCGTCCAAGGCCTCGCGCACCGCGTAGTCGCAACGATCCTGCACCTGAGCGTCGGTCGAGGTCGAGAGATGTCGACCTGTCGTGGGCGGCTGGAGGTCGAGGTGGAAGCGCGAGCCGCGTCCAGGTCGGGGGCTGCGGTGAGGGGGGTGATGGGTCAAATGAAAGCGCACCATGGTGCACGCGCCCAGGAGGCATCTGAAAGTCTGTAGTAGTAGTCTTATGATGTCTTATGTTGGTTTCATAATGCAAGTCTTTGGAGTCGTCCTGAGATTCCTCTGGATGTGGCTGGTGGATGCTGGGCGAGGGGCGAGGCTGGTCTGCAAATGATCAAGTACATCCTGTTCCAATGTCGTCCTTGCGGGCTAAAACTGCTCACCGTCTCAGCCAAATCAATCGCTCGGTGGTAGCTCTGTCAATGCCGAAAAACTCATGAACACATCAACCACCGCAACGTCACCCCGCCCGTCACCCTGCCAGGGTCATCACCGTCTCATCTCGGGACTTGGAAAAGACCCCAGCAATGCCACCCGCAGCGTACATGGCCTGCGGACGTGGCGAGGCGCGAGGCGAGGCAAGCACAGGGAGCTACTGGGCCAAGTGTCTTTACGCTTTTTTGTGGATTTGGTAAGGGCACCAGTGATCTGGAACCTCTTGGATGTTTGTTCATCCCTCATTAATTATCCCTCAACAAAAAGGCATCACCATTCCCTGCTCATCTGCTCATCCCCCAAAACTCCGTCAAAATGAATTGAGAAGAACATTTCATATGGATTTTTTTGTGCGTGTGTTGTGTGCAGAAAAGCTGCCAGCTGACCTGGGAACCCAACTGCGATCCTAAAGGACTTTTTCAATCTTTTTCAGCCTGAGTCCAGAACCGGACTTCTCAGCGCCACTCCATCTTTGGCACGGACCACTCAGCTGCTTCGTCGGGCGGTCCAAAGCGCTCGTTCAGGTGCTCGTTCAGGTGCTTCATGGCCGAGACGGCAAAGACGAATTGGTCGAACTTCTGAGGTGAACTTCGTTGGGCCACGGTGAAAGTTGGGTACTAAGGACCAGGGAAAGGTAAATAACTGGTCAAGAGATTTCATTCCTGTTCTTCTCCATTAGTTTTCTCATCAGCGACCAGTAGGCAGCCACGCACTTGCTTGAGGAGTCGCAGGGTCCTTTCCGTGTCACCACCATCGGTGCCCAGGACGACGAGCTGGGGAGAAATAGATCGCAATACATTGGACATCAGCATGGTCACTGCAGATTCTCTGTAAGGAATGCACCGTGTATGGCGTCGTTTCCCATCAGGAAGGAGTTGCCGCAGGACTTGAGATATAGCCCAGAAGATTTTTTGGTCGGGTATGATGGTGCTTCCCTCCTTCAGCCGGTCTGGTGGAAAGCTCCAGGATGGAAGACAAATGAACTGGATGAGTGAGGGGAGCCCCAGGTGCTCCAAGGACAAATAAATATTGAAGACCTTGGATTTGTACCAGGAGACCCTAAGGCATGCTTCTTGCCACGACCAATGCATATTACTTAGACTTTTACTGTATATAATAATCCGCCCGGCTCTTTGGTCTTTTCTGCCATCCATTAGGCAATTTCCATGTTGGACCCACTGACCCCATCAACCCCCCAAGTTCGCACCCAACCAGTTTGACCTTCAGGTTTGGTTGGACAATAGTTGGACAAACCAAGGCCTGTGCATGAAAAAGGCCGTAAAACCCAGACGCTTCAAAAACTACAACTCTCAACCTCAAATGGCGACATGACCCCGCATAGCTCGACATGCTTCCCATCGAGGCAACGTCCCACAAGATATCTGCCGACTGAAGAGGGTCGGGGGATCCGAAAGTGGTGTCTGGGTAAACCCTAGCCTTCAAAGACCATTAAAAGAACGGTTGAGCTGGTGGTGTAGTGTAAAAATCCTTAGTAAAACAATGGCTCTTTGGCAAAAAACATTAAAACAATGGTTGTTTGAATCCTAGGGTAAAAATTGTTGAGGCAATCCAGGAGTACGAGCGATGTCCTTGCCTTGGGAGAAATGTAGCGGTCACGTTCATGTCGGTTTGCCAAACCCAGCAGCATCGCGGTTGACACATCTATGGGGCGCGGTTGTACTCCTTCCAGGGTCACTTGATCCTGGCTATAGTGCACAGGATGCTGATGCTCCCAAGTGGTCTCCTGGGTTGGTTGTATAGTCAAAGCATTGTGATAATTAGTCAATTAGAACAACCATGCCATTCCAAACGGGAGGCAAACAAAAGTGAACATATTCCCAACCACGACCATGCCTCCCCGGCCAACAAATCATAAGCTTTTTCGGTAACTAGTTCAATGAACTCGACTGCCACAAAGCTTGCTCGGACGTGGGCTTGGAGAAACTCATGTGTCTTCAGGACCAATCCATTTTCTCCAAAAATACCCTGCATCTTTCCAGAGTCGGCTGCACCGTAAGCAAGCAGTAAGGCTCGTCGTCCCTTCAAACTTTGCAAAAGAATGTCTTCCCAAAGCTCCATGAAGAGCATGGAGCCATCAGCTTCATCAAAAACATAATCCAACTCAATCGACTTCCCTTGGGCGTCGGTCACCAAGCCATGCACCGTGTCCAAGACCAAAGGTGCCCTCTCGTCCGCGCACGGGGCTGAGGGTGGTTGACAGCGAAGAAGCACGCTGATAGCATGCTTCCGTGGAGCAAGAAGGATTTGCAGGTCTTGATCCTCCGTGAAGATCTGCCATTCAGAGAGCACGCCGTCTTTGCCGACCAATTGTGTGGATTTGGGGTCAGCCTGACGAAGGCAGCCACTCCGGGGCAGGGCAAACAGCTGGCGCTTCAAGTTCTCCACATTGGAGGCACTGAAACGGCCGAGTTCTTCGCCAGAGACGAGCGACACTGTTAGGATGGGCGCCATGGTGGAACAACGGATGCCATGAGCTTAACTTTCAGGCGAAACAACATGAATGGCCTGACAAGTGTTATTTTGGCAGCACTTTTCTCCAGGTCTTCCGTAATTAGTAATTATTGCAGAAGGGGTGCTCGAGCACCTGTTTCCCAGTATTTGTTTCTCAGGAGGGTGAGGCTGGATAGATACATAGTTTGGCAAATCTCATCACCACTAAGACACTAAGGGTGGATCATGGATCAAATCGCCAGGCCGACGATATGGTTTTGCGATGCCATGCACATCTATGCACCTAGACCGGGGGGTTAGCCACAGTCTCCAGTCATGTACATGTGGTGGCTGTGTTCGAACTTGTCCGCCTGCCACGCACATCTAGCAAACTTGAGCCTCAAATCATGGTCTCCAAAACCTAGATGTAAAATATATAGTGCAAAAAAAGATCCTTACAGATCCCTACAGTAATATTCAATTTTATGATCTTTGGCCTTTGGGTCTCCAAAACCGACCGTTGACTTTGGCTCGACCTCTTCAAGCTCGACCTCCCTGGAATCAGATCGACCGACTCCTCTACCGCCTCCAAGCGCGCGACACGAGACGTAGCCCGACACGAGACGTAGCTATACGTGCCTGGATCATGAACATCCCTGGTTCTGGTGCCATTTGTACATGTGGTGCCGTTGGGTGCTGTTGTTCGTGTGCCTAGTGGCCTAATGCCAGTTGAAAGCCAAAGGCCCTGAGGCCCCAGCCCTAGACCTGAAAGAGGATGTTTAAAAAGTCGATCCCGCCGAATAATCCCCAAGACCCAAACCCATCTTAGCTGTAGAGGTTTCGTTTGGATGGAAATCCTCGTAGGCTATAGACACCAAAATCCATTTAGATCCTTGCCCCACCAAAATGCCGTTCAACTCCACGGTCGCCCCGTAACCCATCGCGCCGCGGAGTCCCCGCTCCGCGGGTTCCGCGGGCTCCGCACCTGTTGCGCTTGGTAGGCCCGTGTGTGGTTCGTGTCGGCGAAGTCGGCGGCCGCCCGGGCGGCGGCGGCGATCTGGGGCGTGACACCTCGGATGAATCGGATGTATCTAAGTGGGTAGGAGTTCAGGAGGATCTACGTAACAATCAGCAAATCACATACTGGTTGACTCATATATCTATCACTCTACTGAGTGTGGCGAATCTAACATGAACTGCCATGAATCCTTAGCTCGGACCTGGGCAAAAGAATCTTGCTACAAGTACTAGCTACATGTCTTTTGTGCCTGGAGTGCCCCAAAACACCCCTCTTCTTGGGTGTCCGCTGACCAACTCGGTGTCATCGCATCCGGTGGCTGGTTCGAAGCCAACAAATGAGGGTGCCAAACGAGTCTGCTTGGACAAGTTCCCAGCCTTTTCTGGCCCAGGATGTCGGTTGTCGGTAGTCCTCCATGTATTTGTTCCTCTTGCAGCTTGCAGGCGGGCCCGCTGATGATTCGGGGCCCAGAATGATGGTGCGGAGAACTCACCACAACTTGCAGAGGAACCGGTTCACACCCCAAAGGGGATCTTCTCTTCCCCTGGAGCCTGGAAGGTGTTGGAAGGTGTAAGGGGTGACCGGCAACCAGAGTGAATGGATGTGAATAGGGATTCACCAAGCCCAAGAGGTGGGCAACCACACCTGAAAATGCACACGATTGGCAAGCTCTTGGTCCTTAGGCAGAAGCTCTCACACAAGGCCTCCTGAAGCATATTGAACCCAGCTGCATGTGGCTTTCACAAATTCAACCGCTTCTGAACAAAACAACTGTTCAAGCGGACACCCCCTAACACCAAAAAAGAACACACAAACAGCCACTGGATGCCACTGGGTGCGAAAATCTCCTCATGGGGGGCGTGTTTTTCGCGCAGGTAGCGTGTCGCACCTGGTGTCTCCTTTGCCTGCCTGGGAACTTGGGATCTCTAAGTGGAAACCGCTGGACACGCTGCGACCGCTGGACACGCTGCGGCCGTGACCGAGGTGCTGTTGCCATCCCCGGCCGCGGACATGGCGGCCACACCACCCACCACTCCCGCGACGGTCTGTGCCTCGGGTCCCGCAGCGGCGGTCTGTGTCAACGGAGAGCTGCGTTTGTGTCGCGGTTGGGGTGAAGTTCGAGCAGCACCCCGCGGTTGGGGTGAGTTCTGATGGCTTCGCCCAGAAGACCTCCAAGAAAAGTATATAGTATATATAGGAGACTCCAGAAGCGGGTCCAAACTTGGGGCAATGGATGCTGGCAGAAAGTAAGTTGCCTACTGAAATGTTCTGGTCAGATGCTGACTCAATCTAAAAGCACTGTTTCAAGCGAAAAGGATTTACAAAACGGTGCGATCCTGGTGGCATTAGTCAACACCTGGAAGGGCCAGAAAGGTGCAAATGGTACCCAATGCCTCACCAATCACAAAAAAAGCACGTTCCACAGCGGCGAGCCAGCCGGGCAACCGAGGCAACAAGTTGGTCACCAACAACTTCTGGGTCACTCGGTCACCTTTATCACCACTCTTCTCTTGAACAAATTCTTTGCACGTCCACATGTTGTGAGATTCTTGCCGTAGGCAGTCCTTTCAGTGGAACATTTGTCCACCCACATGTGTGCCTCCCATCCACTGCAGCCCCACATGTCCCAATGCCTTCTGTGTGTTGGAGAGGCCCATCAAGACCTGGACAGGGGTTGGATTGGGTTGCGGACGGGACACCGACGCCGTTTCTGCGTCCTCCCAAAGCATTCGAATGATTTGATCTTTGCTTCTTATGTGTTTGGGGGGGCAAATCTGACTTGGGACCACAAACAAACCTACTGTAAATGCAAAGCCAAGAAGAGTCTGTATAGCGTTCTCGAATGCCCTACTTATCCCTACTTTGGGATGTGGGGATCAGGTGTTGCTGAATCCAAGTGTCTCACTGTCCTACTTCAAGATCTGTCAAGATCTTCAATGTCCATGATCCTAGCCTTGTACTTGTATAATATATATATATATAGTTATTCTGTAAAACACGACCCGGTGCAGACATCTCATGGATTTTTGCCACGGATTTTCTCCCACAAAACTCCGGCCCTCCCGCCGGTTCGGCCACTAACTCGTGGGCCAAACATCGTGATCCAATCGGATTGCCCCACTGTCTGATGGCCAAGCAAAGTGACTCAAAAACAGCCATGGAGTGGATCCGGTATGATCCAGTTCACCTTCCTTTTTGGTGGTGGTTCACCACTTCATATCTTCATATATCTTTATATTATCCACATCTTCCACGTCTTCCACCGTCCGAGTCCGGTTTTTTTAAACGTTCTGTGCCGGACCTCTCTTTCGCTCCCAGTGGCTCCGTTCTTATTCGCCGCCATGGCTGCATCGATCTTGATCTGGTGCAGATTCTTGCCAGCGGCCTGGGCATCTCCTCGGCACACAGCGCTGTGCGCGCTCGGCCGCCAAAGCTTCTAGCTCCTAGTAGCTTCTTGTTCCTAGTAGCGAGAATGCTTCTAGTAGTCATGCCCTTTGTTACTAGTAGCGTCCTTGTTACAAGTAGTAAGGCCAGGAGCGCCCCTAGTAGCGTTGCCAGGAGGGTCCAGTCATAGCGAACCTGAAGAGGTACGACTGGAGGGAGACATGTAACATCTCTATCTCTATCTACATCTCACAAGTGCACTTCACTCGTTCGTCTCATTTGGGTTTGCTTACGGCGCTCCTCTAGGTCTAGATTCTAGATGCATGAGTGCTTCAGTAAGACCAATCGAGGAACTTGATTGGCCCAACTCCAGTTTCAGGACTTACTTCTGATCATCTGATTGCTGCCAAGCTAGGCTATTCTTGAAGCGACTCTTGAAGCGCTCATTGGAACAATCTATTGCCTTGTCCCAATTGAACGGCCTCATAGGAGCCTACTGTAACCTATTCTGTTTTGTTTCCTGATTATTTAGTTGCCGTTTGATGCCTAATGTTTTTGAAGATTGATTTGATGATTAGTTCAAGAGTTCACGCTGGTGATAACTATTTTTTGCTTTGGGTATATATGGTTCTTTGGGGTTTGGAGCTTTCTATGGCTCTCGTTGACCAATTAGGTCATGTTAGGTCGTGTTTGGTTGACCAGCTGGTCGCCATCCCCACTCGGACGCCGGGTGGACACCGGCCGTGCCGGTCTGGTTCGCTTTCAGCCATGGCTCGTGCGGCATTCACGGCGGCTTGGTCGGTCATCTTCAAGGCTTCGGAGAGGGACGTCGCAGAACACCTCGGGGTGGTGGGCGGTGGTTGGAAACTCACCCTACAAATCCCTACAGAAAGAAGGCGTTGCCGCCATTGATGTTTGAATCGATCTAGTCAGCAATGGAGTCAGGTGGTTGGGTTCACAATGGCTCTTGCAAAGGTGGACAGAACTGTCAGAGTGAGTGGCATTGTCGGCATTGTGCACTAGAGTAAGAAAACCATAGAAAAACAAATCAATACAATTGATATGTGCACATGCTTATATGTAAACAACTAATAGATGTCTGTATCATGTCTGTGTAGTCTATGTGTTTGTGGAGGCTTGTGGGACATCCAACTACAGTATACGTCCCTGTTTCCTGGTTCTTGATCCAGTACGGCTCTAAGTCTGTTAGGATTGAAATCGTCTTGATCCTGACCCGTTGGCGTACGCTTCAGTGTTCCCACTCCATCTGTCTCAACACGAACGGAAGTCCGAGACACGTCTTGGGTCCGCTGATGGCGGTTGGCTTCATCATCTCAATCGCTTGGTTGCCTGTCTGAGGACTGGAGAGCGAGTGAGGAGCTGGGGCGGCCAGCGGAGGGTTCGCACAAACACCACCCGCATCACTGGCGTGATCTGAGCAGGTCATCCTCCCCTTCACACGAGAGAATCATTGGAGGGACCATGGCGTTCATGTATTCACACAGACTGATGAATAAACACCTTGAGGTACAATCCAAATGGAGGGTCTATGTTCCTCAACAGCCTACATGACGATTGGTTTCTGCATATGCTGTTCACCTCCAATCACCTTGGCATCGGCAGCGCATCAAGCCCCACGCGACACACTCCGCGCACA